CAACAAAGTCCCTCTTTCATAAAGGCAATATTTCAAACCATAAACTTATATATTAGTTGTTTATGTTCTCTTATTGGAAATATTTTTTTTTAATTTTGGGACTAAAACGTATAAGCAAGCAGCGGGCTATGACTAAGTCCTGGATTGTGAGAACGTTAGCTGAGTAACCCCCAAAAAGAATATGGAAAAACAAATAAATACATAAAAAATATTTAAGAAACACATTTTTGTTTCTACATCCGAAAATGTTGACGTGTGAATTTTTTCCAGCTTTCGCGATGGGGCGAACAGGCTGCAGGAACTGACCCCCGGTTTGCGTAACAGACTGGTCTGAAGCTAACATTTGGCTAAAAAGCTAAACGCTTTCGGTGTAATATAAAGGTGCAGTAAAGCTGTGAGCGTCGTCTCTCCCACAGCAGACTGTCACAGCACGAAGATGAACGTAACATGCTGCAAAATGTGAACAAAAACCTTACCTGCTCCTCTCCTCTGTGACTCGGACTCAGACTGAGCTCAGTGCGGAAAGAAACTTTACGCCATGAAGGAACGAACCAACTGTGTCAGATCCGCGGGGGGGGACTCAGTTAGTCTGAGGCACTAAATCCCTCCAACACACTCTTATTTCCTCTTTTAAGGAAGTTAGAGATTTGTTTTGTCACGTTTTCTGGGTGGACAGTTTGCTTAATGTGCAAGTTGTTATTCACAGTGATTTTCAGTTTTTTATTATCCTGAACCGGTCAACGGGAACTCTAATCACACGTTGAATAACTTTCAAGGTGCAGCAGGGAAAGGGTCATGGTTACGCAATTAAACCAGCTGAACTTTACTAAAAGACAGATTCATCAAAGCAGTCCCTCTCAAATTAAACACCGATGCTGTTCATGGTGCCAAGGACTTGAGGCTGATCCAGCCCTGATGTCTGATGTAAGGTCTTTCTGTCAGCAATCCATCTGCCTTCCCAGTTTTTTCAAAACTCTGATGGAAAACCAACACCAAAATTAGTAACAAAGGGCAGAATGAAAAATAAAAGAGGAGAAGATGGCGTCTAAACAGTTTTAAAATGCCACCGACTAGTGATTTAAGGGGTTTCTTACATGATTTTTTTTTTTTTAAACCTCAGTTTCAATGTACGGTATATACAGATCTTCTCAAATCTGCTTATCAGTTAATTCCATGAGGCCTGATGTGGTTGTCTATATATAACTTTCTTTAAAGGAATATGTATGTTTCAACTATTCTAAGCTTCAATTTTTATTAAACGCTTTGCTTTTCAGCAAGAAGGTTCTGATCTTTCCGCATGGCGTTTGCATGTTCTCCATGTGCATGCATGGGTTCTCTCTTGGTACTCCGGCCTTCTCCCACAGTCCAAAAACATGACTCCTTAGGTGTGAGTGTGTGTGTGAATGGTTGTTTGTCCTGTTTGTCTCTGTGTTGCCCTGCGATAGACTGGCAATCTCTCTAGGGTGTACCCCGCCTCTCGCCTGTAGTCAGCCGGGGATAGGCTCAAGCACCTGTCATGACCCCAGCTGGGGTAAAGCATGACAAAAAATGGATGAATGGTATGCTTTTCACTGACACGTTGAAATCTGATAAATCAGACAGCAATTCCACTTTGATCTGAACTGCAGTATGTCCTGGCACACCACAGGGGCAAGTCATGTTCAGTTGATCTGGCATTAAGATAAGCAATAAGGAAATATGTTTAGATTGCAATCAATAGCTAATTTGTTGGGTCTGCCTACACCCCAAAAGGTTATCCCGAGAAATCCACATGTAATGTAAAGCTATAGTCACCTGTATAGGGTCTAACCCACAGGTTAGATATATACAATGGTAGAACGTAAAATTTGCTAAATTAATAAAGAATTCAGCAATCTTCTTATCTATGATAAATGTAATGATGATAATATTTAATCCATTAATTCCTGTATTGAAGAAAACACTCCTCCAAGATGACATCTTCAAAAAACAAGAGGTGAGTGCATTTTGACTCTAGGTCAAAATCCATCCAGCTATAAAGATTGGTACATAGCAAAATCAAATGTCTTACATTTCCTTTTTTGTAAATTTAACACTTGTTTAGTCTTATCAAACTATGCAAAAGGTAGGTACTTCAAAAAGTTTATGTTAATCTGTTAAATTTAATTTTAGCAAATCTGTTGTTGATTTTATAATAAAAAAAAACAAAAAAAAACTGAATGTCTCCTAGAATACCATCCTATCTGTTAAGGCTTAACTCTTAAAGCACATGTGCTAACGACAACATCAGTGGTTCAGAAGGTTGTCCCAAAACTGTAGGGTTGCTAGTTCAAATCCCAGCTCAGTCGTTGTGTCCTTGGGCAAGACGCCCGACTCTCAAAGGTGAGGTGTTGATTGTGGTCAGAGGGTCTGTTTACAACAGCATTGTTTATGTCAGCGTGCCCCAGGGCAGCTGTGGATACAATATATGGCATGGGATTAGTAAGCACTGTTATGTTGATGATACTTAGCTATATTTCTCCACAAATCCTGATAAGTGTTAACACTATTGTGTGGTGTTAACTTTTGACACTATGTGCTTAAACCGTCAAGAGTGCTTTTAAAACTTTCTCACAGTGTTTACTGTTAAACAATTTCAAAAATGTTATTTTAACTCAACCTGGCTATGGCTAATATAGACACTTAAAAGGCTTTTAATTCAACTCCCTAGGAATCGAATTTACACTTTTACATTTGCTTTGTAGCCTGCTTAAGAGTCAACTTTAACCTAGATCATAAAGTTTTATCATAGAACAAAAAACAAAACCCTGGGGGGTGCAATAACAGCACACTATAACCTTTGTAAAAGAAGATTAGTCCAATTCATATCGTTTGGCACATGAGGTCATTAATCATATCAGCTAATTAAATTACGACATGCTCAACAAATATGTTACCTCTTTATAATACATGAAACTAATGCTAAAGACCACTATCCCAAATGTAAGCCTATGGCAAAAAAAAAAACAAAACAAAAAAACAGTAAAAAACCTGGAATTATTTCACTACTCAATAGGTATGTAAATCAAACTATTTCCATGTTGGTTTGAATGTATACAAGCTTACAAATTAACCCATAACTTCAGGGCATTTACTTTGTGACCAAGGCTTTATGCAGTTTAATCAGTGTAACTATTCTATTCAAAGAAGGCAGGGGGTTTGGCGTGCGCCGGTGGTGCTGCGGGTTAAGCATGCAACCCATGCACAGGGGCTCAGGTCCTCGACATAGCTGCCACAGGTTTGAGTCCAGGAGTGTCAAGTAACGAAGTAAAAATACTTCGTTACTGTACTTAAGTACACTTTTTAGGTATCTATACTTTACTCCATTACTTATTTTTCTTCATATTTCTGACTTCTACTCATTACATTTTCACACAAGTATCTGTACTTTCTATTCCTTACATTTTTAAAATAAACGTTACTCATTACTCTTGGCTTCGGTTTAATGTTTAAAAATATTATTCTAACGTCATGTGCGCCATCCAATGCAGATCATTGGCTCCATCCACATCTAGTGAAAACTAGTGTAATTGGATGAGTCATAAAACGCAAACACTCACTGGTTTGATAAAGGAAATCATCAGAAGCAAGCAGGTGTTCTTCAAACTGTAAACGTGAATTGTCTATGCCATGCTACAATGTCAGATTCAGAGAAAGATGTCGAAATGTCTGAAAGGTCGGACACAGGCGAGAGCGTATCAGGAGATGGAGACCAACAAGACCTCCCTCATCCTTGGTCCGATCCCAAAGAATTTTTCAAAATAGTCAAAAAATTGAGCTTTCAATTCATATAGTGGCATCTGGCTGTTTTTTTTAAAAGGTTACTTTATACTGTTATGCTTTAAGTAGTTTTTGGAGCACATACTTTTTCACTTTTACTTGAGTAAAGAGGTCAAGTTGATACTTCCACTTTTATCAGAGTGTTTTTAAACTGCAGTATCTATACTTCTACTGAAGTAATATATGTGTGTACTTTTGACACCACTGGTCCCAACTTGGTTACCTTTGCTGCATGCCTTCCCTCTATTCTATTCTCATTTCCTTTCAAAAACAATAAAATAAAGGCCACTAGAGCTTAAAAATAATCTGTTCATGCACTAAAGTCCTCCAGTGATGAAAAAGATGCATTTTCAGTTATTGGAAAAGCTTGAAGGCAGTTGTATAGGAGATGCAATTACTTTCCACAAAGGACCAATTTACATTAAAAAAAACATTTTTTAATACTAAATGATTTTTAAAAAGAATTTACCCAGTCGTTTTATCTTTTTTATTGAAATTTATTTTACGGTCTGAAAAATGTAAGCTTGCCAAAAAAAAACAACAAGAAAACAAAAACAGAAAAAATGGACTGGCCATGCTGAAGTCCAGGCTTTAATCTGACTGAGCATCTCTAGAGGGATCTGAAAATGGCGGTGCAATGAAGTCTCCCGTCCAGCTTCATGCACTATAAAGAAGAACAGGCCGAGCTGCCTAAAGAAAGGTGTGCTAAGCTTGTGGCATAATATTCAAAAAGACCTCAGGCTGTAACTGCTGCCAAAGGTGGATCAACAGTTTTAAGCAAAGGCTGTGAATGCTGGAGTAATGTAATTATAATAAAATCTACAACAATCTGTAAACACATTTTTTTCACACTGATATAATGGGGTATTATGTGTAGAGCATTGAGGAAAGACAAGAGCTTAAAAACATTTGGAATAAGGCTGAAAAATAACAAAATGAGGAAAAGGTGCAGAGCTTTGATTATTTTCCAGATGCACTCTACCTATTCAAATATAGCTAGTCTTATTGTGGACATTGGAAGAAAAAAAAAACGCTTTGCTTTATTTGAACAAAATTCGAATCTACCAGTTACATATAAGCATGTTACATATTTTAGTTACATGTAAGCATGTTATTTAATTTTATCCAAGGATGTGACAGGAGACTCGGACAGGAGGAGCCCTCCTTTGGTGAGACAGCCTTCTATTCCAGTGTTTATTTTCATCCATCACATGCTCTTCCGTTTCTGATTCCTGCTTTTCATCTTGTGACGAACTACTGCAAGCGTAGTAAAGAAATTCCCCATAAATAAAATGAGGAAGCAGAGACCGCACATCCGGACCTGACGTTAAATGAAAGACAGAGGGAAAACATGAGTCAACAAAACAGCAGTGAAGATTAATACTGAAACATATATCTCTGCTATAGAATAGATGAAAAAAGATCTCCAAGGCATCTAAGACATTTTTTTGAACCTTTTAGAGTTTTACATATACTTTACGTATGACACTACTGTAGTATGTGTGTGCATATATGAGGGATAATTTGTTATGAAAGCAGGGAAAGAGTGACTCAGCAAAATTTAGCAGGAAGGCAGCGACGCAGCATTATTTGTTGGACCGACCTGCCATTCCTTACAGTCTGGTAGCTGAGCCATTCTGAACAGAGACAGGCTGTTGAAGAGCTGCCAGAACTGAAAGACAAAACAAAAAGATGATGTTTCAAAGGGAAATAGCTGAAGCATGCTGTTTTTGATTGTTATTCATTTTTTGGTTCTCTAGAGGACATCTTGCTGGTGTGCTTTAGATTCATTTACTCTTGCATAGTCCAAATGCGCATGAGTTTAAGCACACAAAGTGATTCTTTCAGGCTTTTCTGATTAAGAATATGTTTGGAAGCAGCCAAGCAAACACAGATGATCACAGTAACACATTTGATGTTGTTGTAATGTCTGAGGTTGGATGTATTTTTCCAAGACGTTTTTAATGATGCATTTTCTTATCACATTTTTTCCCTTGTATTATTTTTTAAATGTGCCTTTATTTACTTGTCAGCATTTTTGTTGCAGCTGTGTTTCTTTTAAAGTGCTTTATAAATAATGTACGTGCACTATAACATACAGTATTACCAGGATTTAAGTATAATTTTTCACATAATCTTTCTGTATTTTCTTATAAGAAGATTTTATTCTAATATTTGCAATATAGTCTTGGAATTTAGCATTCTACTGTGAAAGTAATTTTTGAACAATAGATTACTGTTAACTTTGCTTAATATTTTGCTGTAGTTTTGTAAAATACTGTATTCACACCATACTTGGAGCTCACCTGCAGAAGAGTAGGGAAAAAAGAAGGTATGGTAAACATTATTTCAAATATTAAGTCGTTTTTTTTCCTATTGTTAGGTGTGTGAGTTTGCACATAAATAAAGTTTTTTTTCTGCATGTCGAAAAGAGTGATGGCCAAAAGTTATTTGACAGAGAAAATGCAGGGAATTACCTGAAAACGAGCCTGAATGGGAAACAACCAGTACCAACAGCTTTCCACCGGAAAGCTCAAAATGAGAGTAAACTCCCGGCTAAACGTCTGCTGGTTTTTTTTTTAAGAAAAACTTTGAACCATTCTGACTGTATGATCTGGTTAAATTGTCTCTGTAAAGTACCTCAAAATGCCATGAGTTGTGCATTGGCGCTACATAAACAAACTGAATTGAAGTGTTACCATGGTTACCAACTAGTGTTTGAGCCAGCGCATATTGATTAAGAACAAAATCAGGATTGACCTTGATCTTGATCTTCTTCTTTATTTTGGAAAAGGAGTTTCAGTCAAAAAGCCTGATTATTGCTCTAAATGAATGCTGGCAGTTGGTAACCGTGGTAACAGAAAATCCAAACTTTCTATTATGGGATATCAATTAGAACCCTGTCCTGCAGACTGATAACCACAATGCATTAATTAACCCTAGGTTGGTACTCATTGGAGACCCAAACCTGCTGCTTCAAGCTGCAAAAACCATTTAAATACTCTGATATTTGATCACACATTACAACTCGCTAGCATAATTAATGTTACCAAAATTATGACAAACGATTAAAATGCTCTGAGGCATTGATTTATTCATTTTCTGAATTTCTAGTCCTTTTATCGGGTTTACTGGAGGGTTGGAGCCTACCCCAACATTTATCAGGCAAAGGCAGGTACACACTGCACAGGTCACCAGTCATAAGCAATCAAAGTATTTTTACTGTTAGTCAGTCTGATTTCAGTCTGGCTCCCAAATGAAGAAGATGATGGGAGGCGTCGTCCCGGTAACGCCCTGAGCTGTCAAAAGAAGCAATATGGGGTGCACGCAGCTGAAGTACTGAACCCCTGCACACAAACGCATGCGCCTATGGGGGGCTGACACACAGAAATCTATTTCTTTTAAAGGTTAGTTGCATTGTGTCAGGTGAATGCCCCTTTTTTGTTGTGGTTTGCACATATTTTAACAGATGAGAATGGTTTTATAACTTTAAATAAAACAGCTAGTACTGCATTATATTTTGCAGGCAGATGCAGTGTAGTTTTCCATTTCCACATAGTTTTGCTCCAAGTTGTGAGTTTAGAAAGAACAATTTGTCAGTAACCTGTCTCAGCACAACGCCCCCTGCAGGTTTATTGTGGTTAAACAGTCGCTGGTGTAGGGTCAGTTAGAGGGTGTGAAGAATCCTCAAATATCTTCATCAGATGCTGCAGCATCTGCCAGGGGTAACTGGAGCTTCTGGAGCTGTTAGTCCAAAATAATTACTGCACAAGCTGCTGAAGATGTTGGAGGATTCTTCACACCTTCTAAACAACAATGAGGAATCAAACAATGGGAGTCTTCCTCAGGTCTACTGCAAGACCGAAAGATATAGAACATTTCAGATTACTGTTGACAATATTGGGTTTTTGTCTTTTGGCATTGATATATATATATTATTTCTAATTCAATGACTAAAATTCTTGATCAACATATCCACAGCTATATACTGGTACTGTAGTCCCACAGTTATACACTGAAAAAAATAATGCAACTGATTTTGTCATCTACTTAATCATGTTAAGTTAATTTAACACAACTGTTTTAATGTTAGCAGGGTAGGACAGGATTTCCTATTTAC